TGGATAAAACTTGCCAAAAAGGTGCAGTACACACAATTCAGACTGATTGTCATTGATAATTTGGGGTTTTCCATCCTGACACCAACTGTTTAATTAACATTGACTTTCCAAAGTTTCAATTAAACTGCTTCAGAGTCTTTTGACCAAAAACTCTCGAAGTCTAGCTCTGATTATATTTCATGCATTATAAAAATTATGAAATAACATTCTGTCACATTACTCGTAGGTTTTGGAAGAGCTGAACTGAAGCCATGTGGGCTGTTACAATCACTGCCATCTGGGAAAAAAAGGTGAAGCTGAAAGCAGGGCTCTGAGGATGTGGGGCAGGTATGACACCCATCAAACTCTAAGCTGATGAAGCTATGATCTTAAATGATAAAGGAGGTTTGTGCATTCTTTAGCCCGAAAAACACCATTGAATGTGAAACACACATCAACTCACAAAGCTGATTTTCTTTATGGTCTCTACAGCATCACTTCGCAGCAGTGGGAGTCAGGCAATGGGAGGGGCAGCTTTGTGGATCTCTGATTGCAGTGTACCCATCACACTTCTGACTAAATGGTCTTTGTCTTCGTCTTCGTCTTCCTCCGCTTATCCGGGTCCGGGTCGCGGGGGCAGCATCCCAACTAGGGAGCTCCAGGCCGTCCTCTCCCCGGCCTTGTCCACCAGCTCCTCCGGCAGGACCCCAAGGCGTTCCCGGACCAGATTGGAGATGTAACCTCTCCAACGTGTCCTGGGTCGACCCGGGGGCCTTCTGCCGGCAGGACATGCCCGAAACACCTCCCCGGGGAGGCGTCCAGGAGGCATCCTGACCAGATGCCCAAACCACCTCAACTGGCTCCTTTCGATCCGGAGGAGCAGCGGTTCTACTCCGAGTCCCTCCCGAATGTCCGAGCTCCTCACCCTATCTCTAAGGCTGAGCCCGGCCACCCTACGGAGGAAACTCATTTCGGCCGCTTGTATCCGCGATCTCGTTCTTTCGTTCATTACCCAGAGCTCATGACCATAGGTGAGGATTGGGACGTAGATCGACCGGTAAATCGAGAGCCTGGCTTTCTGGCTCAGCTCCCTCTTCCCCACGACAGATCGGCTCAGCGTCCGCATCACTGCAGACGCAGAACCAATCCGCCTGTCGATCTCCCGATCCCTCCTACCCTCAATCGTGAAGAAGACCCCGAGATACTTAAACTCCTCCACTTGAGGTAGGACCTCTCCCCCGACCCGGAGGTGGCAAGCCACCCTTTTTCGGTCGAGAACCATGGTCTCAGATTTGGAGGTGCTGATCCTCATCCCAGCCGCTTCACATTCGGCCGCGAACCTACCCAGCAAGAGCTGAAGGTCAGAGCTGGATGAAGCTAGGAGGACCACATCATCCGCAAAAAGCAGAGACGAGATTCTCCTGCCACCAAACTCGACACACTCCACACCACGGCTGCGTCTAGAAATTCTGTCCATAAAAGTGATGAACAGAACCGGTGACAAAGGGCAGCCCTGGCGGAGTCCAACCCTCACCGGGAACAGGTCCGACTTACTACCGGCTATGCGGACCAAACTCACGCTCCTCTGGTAAAGGGACTGAATGGCCCTTAACAGAAAGCCACCCACCCCATACTCCTGCAGCGTCCCCCACAGGGTGCCCCTGGGGACACGGTCATAAGCCTTCTCCAAATCCACAAAGCACATGTGGATTGGTTGGGCAAACTCCCATGCCCCCTCCATCACCCTTGCAAGGGTATAGAGCTGGTCCACAGTTCCACGGCCAGGACGAAAACCACATTGCTCCTCCTCTATCTGAGATTCAACTATCGATCGGACCCTCCTCTCCAGTACCTTGGAGTAGACCTTTCCAGGGAGGCTGAGGAGTGTGATCCCCCTATAGTTGGAACACACCCTCAGATCACCCTTCTTAAAGATGGGGACCACCACCCCGGTCTGCCACTCCCTAGGAACTGCCCCCGATGACCACGCAATGTTGTAGAGACGTGTCAACCATGACAGCCCTACAACATCCATAGCCTTGAGATACCCAGGACGAACCTCATCCGCCCCCGGGGCTCCGCCGCTGTGTAGTTGTTTGACTACCTCAGCAACTTCTGCCCCCGAGATCGGACAGTCCATCCCCAGGCCTCCCAGCTCTGGTTCCACCTCGGAATGCGCATTGGTGGGATTGAGGAGCTCCTCAAAGTATTCCTTCCACCGTCCGACTATAGCCTCAGTTGACGTCAGCAGCTCCCCATCCCCACTGTAAACAGTGTGAGCGAGTTGCTGCCTTCCTCTCCTGAGGCGCCGGACAGTTTGCCAGAACCTCTTTGGAGCCGATCGATAGTCTTTCTCCATGGCCTCACCAAACTCCTCCCACGCCCGAGATTTTGCCTCGGCAACTGCCACTGCTGCACCCCGCTTGGCTATCCGGTACCTGTCTGTCTGACTAAATGGTGTCAGTGAAAAATATCTCAGGAAAAAAAAAACACCTGACAAAAAGGTTTCAGAAACATGCCATCAGACAAAAGGGAATCAGGGAAAAACTGCTTCAGGAACAAATGTCAGACCAAAACTCAGGAAAAAAGTTGTCAAACTAAACTGCTTTCTGGAAAAAGGGGCCAAACCAAACCTTTCAGGAAAAAAAAGTTGTCAAACGAACAGTCTTCAGGAAAAAAAGTTGTCAAACCAAAAGGCTTCAGGAAAAAAGTTGTCAAACCCAACTGCTTTCTGGACAAAGTGGCCATACCAAAACCCTTCAGGAAAAAAAAAGCTGTCAAACCAAAAGGCTTCAGGGAAAAAAAGTTGTCAAACCAAAAGGCTTCAGGAAAAAAGTTGTCAAACCAAACTGCTTTCTGGAAAAAGTGGCCAAACCAAAACCCTTCAGGAAAATAAAAGTTGCCAAACCAAATGGCTTCAAGAAAAGTTTTCCGACAAAACACTGAGGTTTACCCTTTGATCACAATACAACATTGAACAAGCGTGGACATTTATCTGCACTTAACTTACTGACTAAACTGCATCCCAACACCCAGCTTAAAGAGACATTCAAGTCTATTGCTTCTGAATGTAAAAGGATTTAAATCCACCACCTTTTTCCTCACCTACCTACTCAGTGGCCTAGTGGTATTAGTATCTGCACTCGGACTGGGATATTGGGGTTCAAATCTGGTCAGGCTATAGCAAAGTCTTTAAAAAATGGGATGCAATGCCTCCTCGCTTGACACTCAGCTTTAAGATTTTGGATAGGGGGAGTTAAACCGCTAAATAATTTCTGAGTGCAGTCTTTGCTGCAGCTCACTGTGCCCCACGAAGATGGGTAAAATGTGGAGATGTAATTTCACCAGTGTGTGATGACTAATGGGACTTTACTTTAAACTTTTGCAACTTCAACACTGCACTCAAAATTGTGGGCCAAAGTTGACTGACTTATATACATTTTTTAGATACAAAATTCGATAATGAAAAAATAAATGCACAGATGTGTTTTTTTTTTACTTTTATAAGTTTTAAGAAAGAAAATTGTTGGGTGAAGTTCAAGCTGCTATTTTTGCACTCCATCCCTACCCCAAGTCTTGAACATGCTCATTTGATCAGTGTGAAAAGATGAAAAGACAACTGCATAAGCCAAGGGGTATCTTAACAAAAGCTTCTCAAAGACAGCTCAAAAAGACCTCAGGAATTATGCCAACTTCTCAAAAATGGGCATAATTTGTTTCCTTTAGGCCCAGCATCCAGCAGATTCACTAGGAGTTGTGGGGTGAGTGGGAGCTCAGCTGGTAGTGCAGCGGCTCCATGAATGCATGAAGACGTTTCTTTCTTGTAACTGGGCTGCATTCCAGTCCTGGCCTTTTGGCTATGTGCTACAGATCACTCCCTTCCTTCTGCCTGCTCTTCAGTTCAAACACCACAGGAAACAGAGTCCACTTAAGCTCACTATTTAATTTAATTTAATTGAATTGTTATGTTTTCAACACAAAAATACATGAATTAAGTAAATGAATAAGTAATTTCATCATTTTACAAAAACTGCTTTCAAATACAACACATGTATGATAAGCTGTTGACGATTAAATGCAAAGATCACAATTAAAAAAGGTGGAAGAATGTTGAGCTGCATGATGAGAAAACAAGAAGGTAGGGTTTGTGCATGTTTGTGTATTTTTCATTGTAAAGCTTAAAATTATGATGTCTGTCAGTGTCTAATAGTGGGTGAAGCCTTGTTGGACTTCTGGCTACATGATGGCTGGATCCTGGTAGCCATGTCAAAACAGGCAAGCGGACCATCGGCTCTGACGCCCTTCAGCAGTTCAAACTGCTGATTGCTGTTGTATGCTTGGAGATACCCTCTTCACATTGTCAGTGTGAAAATAGTTGCAGTAAAACCTCAAAACAACCTCCAAGGAAATCCTGATCATTTGTCTTGATACCATAGCAACAGGTTTTTCTTATAGCAGGAGATCATTTGAAGTTTGAGGAAAAAGCACAAACCATGGTTACCAACAGATGAATCTCCCACGCTAAGAGGTGAAAAGGGAAGTTCAGGTTAGCACTTTCTTCCAATTAATTACTGACATGTACAAATTGGCATATTTATGTGTATTACTCACAGCCAGAATAGATTGTAGTTCTTGTTGTTGCAAACCTGATTTTTCCCCACTGTGTTACCAAAGACTTTTTTGTAAAAGTTGAGGTTTTACACATCTCACTCTGAAAGTAAATCTATAAAATACTGAATAATTGAGTTTCTCTGTCAACAAGAAAAATCTGATTTATTGCACATAGCTGCAGGTAATATTACATGTTGACAAACTACCCTCGAGTTGCATGATGTAATGTTTTTATCTGATTAACTATTACGTCTGCGGTGTGTGGAATGATGTGTAATTTGCTCAATATGAAATGTTTTTGCAAGTTGCACAGCCTAGTGGCATCATAGCATTTCAGATCCAGCCATTCATATGTTCCCTGTTTTCCCTGCAGTTATCGCTGACCTTTCTCACACATCTGCATACCATCATTAGGATGCAACGTCGTCATTGTGCTCTTCATTTTGGCTCCATTTCATTTGACGGTCTGTTTGCATTCTTCTTGTGTAGAATCCTTGAGTATAACCAAATGCAAGCCTCTTAGGCATCATTTCAAACTCATCCACACATAGACCCTATAGAAAGATGAAGATGGGATTCACTATGAACTGAACTTTAACATCATTAAAGTTCCAGTGAGGGATCCTAAATATTTAAACAACAGTAAATAAAAATGTGTTCTGTAAAGTGTATTAATTTTCTTGCTAATGTATATGGAGCCTCTCTCTTAAAGCTTTATCCTTTCATTTTTTCCCATGACACATACATGCATGTTTATGCACATAAGAGTCTTTGGGAGAAACTGAACCATTTCCCCTACTGAAAATTTCCCCTTCTTTGGTTTGAAGATCTCCTGCAAAAAAACAAACTCAATCTGAGTCATTATGGGTCGTTTTACTCATGCAAAGGGACGTGGAAACAATTTCACAAACCCCATTATGGCACTATTCAAAGATAACACCATGCACCTTTACTGATTAAATGAACAAGTAGATATTTCATTGGCATGCTGCAAAAATGTCAGACAAGTGTACAGTTTAAACATATAGAAAATTCCACAAATGAAACATGAAAATGTCTTTTTTTAATGTAGTCATCTTTGCAAGATTACACTACAAAATGACTATTAAGATGCTCACACTGAGTTCTAGATTGTAATTAACATTTTATGGGCCATTGTCAGCCAGGCATCAGAGCATCCAATCTAAATTTAAAACTATTAACAAATGAAACTACTGTGGAGCCCTAGCTGTTCAAACATCTATTGTTTTTTGGTTTGACCAATGCCTGCACACAAATTCATCATTTCACTAAGGTCGGATGTTACTCTTGAAAAAGGGCTTTGGTGTTTCATGTGTGTGTGTGTGTGTGTGTGTGTGTGTGTGTGTGTGTGTGTGTGTGTGTGTGTGTGTGTGTGTATATATATATATATATATATATGTGTGTTTGTGTGTGTGTGTGTGTGTGTGTGTGTGTGTGTGTGTGTTTATGTATTTAGCAGACGCTTTTGTTCAAAGCGACTTACAAGTGATAATCGGCATTTTGCCCTTGAGGCCAACAACAACAATATCAACAACAACATTGACATCAGTCATGGAGAGTAGGGAACAAGGAGTGGACCGTAGAGAGGGGGACGGGTGCAGGCAAGGTGCTAGTTAAGAAGATGCTCTCTGAAGAGCAGGGTCTTCAGGAGTTTCTTGAAAATTGAAAAGGAAGCCGCAGTTCTGGTAGTGCTTGGACGGTCATTCCACATTTGTGGAACGATGCATGAGAAGAGTCTGAATTGTCCTGAGCGTGGTGTAGGCACTGCTGGCCGACAATCCTGTGATGACCGGAGCGGCCGGGCTGAGACGTAAGCCTTTGCAAGAGGATTCAGGTAGATGGGAGCCGTACCGTCTCTGACTTTGTATGCTAGTGTTAGCAATTTGAATTTGATGTGTGCTGCTAGCGGTTAGCCTGGCAAGCCAGACTAAATAAATGTATTATTTAGTCTGGCCATGCTCCGTTGACAGCTCTCGGTTGTGGGGCGTGTTCTACCGTTGTCTTTCAAATGATCTCTGCATTCCACTGGACAATGAATGTGACATACTCTTGTTTCACTCTGTGGCATCATCCCACCCACCAGGCATATAGAGTGCCCTGATTGGCCCACAAAGCGGATAAAGCTCTGTGATTTGTTCACTAAGCAGATAGAGCACTATGATTGGCCCACCATTATGGACCAATCACAGCTCTTTATGTGTTTGAAACCCCTCTAGAGAGCTGTGATTGGCCAGCCAGAGTCCTGGTAGGAGCTGCTGAGGTTCCAATGGAGCGTGTCTAGACCATTCTTTGCAAAGCAAGAATTTGGTCTAGTTCACTAGGCTAGCTAGCGGTAGCCAGTGGAGCTCAATGAACAGAGGGGTGACGTGTGCTCTTTTAGGCTGATTGAAGACCAGGCGCGCCGCTGCGTTCTGGACCATTTGAAGAGGTCTCACAGTACAGCCTGGAAGACCAGTTAGAAGGGCATTGCAGTAATCGAGGCGGGAGATGAAAGTAGATTGCACCAGGAGCTGGGTGGCATGTTGTGTTAGGTATGGTCTGATCTTTCGTATGTTATACAGCGCAAAGCGGCATGAATGGGCAACAGAGGCAACATGATCTTTAAAGCTCAGGTGTTCATCAATCACAACACCCAGATTTCGAACTGCCTTTGAAGGAGCCAGAGATAGGAAGTCATTTTGGATTGAGATATTGTGCTGTATGTATGGTTTTGCTGGGATGACAAGTAGTTCAGTTTTAGAGAGGTTGAGTTGGAAATGGTGGGATTTCATCCATTTTGATATGTCAGAGAGACAGTTTGATATTCGTGCTGAGACAGTGTGGTCGTCCGGTGGAAATGACAGATAGAGCTGGGTGTCGTCTGCATAGCAGTGGTAGGAGAAGCCATGTGATCGAATGATCTCACCCAGTGAGGTGGTGTATCTGGCAAAGAGAAGAGGTCCTAGTACAGAGTCCTGGGGGACTCCTGTGGCAAGATGGTGCACGGTAGAGGACTGTCCAAGCCAAGATACGCTGACTGATCGTCCTGTGAGGTACGATTCAAACCAGGCGTGTGCTTTCTCTGTGATGACCATGGTAGAGAGTGCGGACAAAAGGAAGCCATGGTTGACAGTGTCAAATGCTGCCGATATATATCTATATCTATATATATAAAAAACTATATTTCTCAGGTAGGCTGGGAACGCCTTATGATTCACCCAGAGAAGATGGCCCAAGCTGGGAAGAGGGCCCAAGCTGGGGAGAGGGCAGTCTGGGCTTCTCTGTTTAGGCTACTCTGTGTGTGTGTGTGTGTGTGTGTGTGTGTGTGTGTGTGTGTGTGTGTGTGTGTGTGTGTGTGTGTGTGTGTGTGTGTGTGTGTGTGTGTAAAGATGCAGTGCTTGCACAGCTTGGAAAAAGAAAACTCTGCTTAATATTCCCATATCCTGTAACCTGGCAATGGCTTGTATATGAAGATCAATGTAGGCAATTTACAGCATCCGATAGTGCATTAGGTTCCATGATTTTGCATTAACACATCTCTACACATCAAATGGGTTTTTTGGCACTATGTATTAAAAAAGTTTCATCGGTGGAGGAAGCTTCCTTCTTAGCAAATTGGATTTCCTAGCTAAACTGATGCATTTACCAATATACATTTTAGGGGATATTTTATTATAGGCTATAAAGGAGGAGGAAAAGGAAACACTGAATATCTTCATCAGCCAGTTAGCAGATTGAAATTCAGTGGTGAAGGTAAATATTCAGACAACCAAAATGTATTTTCTTTGTCACGCTAAATCACAGGCTGCAATTAAGATAGGCATATGTTTAGGACTCAATAAAATAGCCAAATGATTTCATTTAAAACCGCTTGGGAAGCTGGTAAAAAAATACTGTTAAATATGTAAACTTTCCTGGAAAAATTGTCCCGTCCAGAGGGTTAGGGCTCTAACTGATACAATCAATAATCACTAAGACAGTTGTTTAAAAACTAAACAAACATCTTTGAACAGAAAAAGAACAACAATCTGTAATTGTTCTACACATGCATTTATGTTATTTCATGCATTTTGTTTAGTTTCTTGATTTGCATATTGTAATTAGAAGATTGATTTTTAGCTTGTGGATTGAGCCAATATGTTAAAGAAGATGCCTCAAAACAAGCATTAAAAAGTATGAAAAAAGCATTATAGACTCAGCCCTTCCTGATTCTACTACCGTTTGGTGGCTGCATGTGTATGTTTTTGCTAATTGGTGTGAGTAAATGGTGTTTTTAATTGATGGCTGGAAAAGGCTTTTTTTGTGTGTTTATTATGATGTGATCACGTATTTGTGTGTAGCTACTTATCCTGTGTTGTGAGAGGATAATGGGGGCAACTGATAGATTGTACACAAATAAGGTCAAATCCACATTACCATGGTAACCTACCAGAACAGACCAGCTGGTCCATCTGTTCTTTAGCTAACTTTGAGTTGGTTCTCTCACACCTAATAGCAGCTGCTATTACACAGGATGTTCACTCAAGCAGCAACATCCCGTTCCAAGAAGATTTACTAAAACAAAATTCTGAGGAGTGTAATCCATTAATTGCTGGAGTTCCACTGGGAAATGTTTGGCTTCATTGTGTGTTTTAGGTTTTTTTTTTCTTTTGAAATCCTAATGACCATTTTTTGATTGTGTAGTAAAAGCTGTGTCCTTCTAATTAAATGACAAAAAAATGGAATATTTAAAAAGGCAGTTTGTCTCAGAATACAGTATTCCCTCGTTTATTTAAAAAGAACCAGCTAAAAGTGACATCTGTACAACTTAAACTGAGGAGTTATACTCTCTTACTGCAGAGGGGATAAATGACCTACGGCAGCGTTGTGTTTTACATCTGGGATGTCTCAAACAGGCATTTCCACACTTTTCTCTCTTGTTTGAAGACTCAGTGTGCTGTAAAAAATAAAAATATATCTGCAAAATTCTGCTGAAGGTAAGAATTGTTTTCAGGTGTATTTATTAGTTTTTCCTTAACTATTTACCAAAGTGAGCTGCCTGAACGCCTTTCTGGGCTGCCTGAATGTTTTGCCTCATGAAAACACAGCTAGAATACTGAACGCTGAATATATTATGGCCCCAGTGGCACCATGAAAACAATATAACAACCAGATGTGCCACTCCATGCGTTTGGTTTGGGTCCAGCATTCCACTCCTCCACTACCCCTTCTAACTGCTACCACTATAACTTTTAAACTAGGAGAGACCCTGGATGTGTACTCACTAAGAAAGACATTTTCAGATGGTCACATTTAATGCTTTTCCTCCCAGCCGCAGACGTTTTCTCGTTTTAGACATGAACTGTTCATCCAGCATATGGGGTTACTGCTAGCTTGTTTAAACAGCAGTCGGATCCGGACTCTGAATGGCGTTTTTCTGGTCTAGTTTAGCCTTTTCCAATTGCTGATTGGTTCTATTTTGTTTTCTTTTCCATTTTCTGGTTGGATTTTTGTTATTGTCAATTATCACTGTCGCCTTTTATTCAGTGAGAGAAAAAAAATCCAAACAGCGATGCCGTGAAGGGTGAACCGCGTTACAGCGAGGGACCATTGTACAAAACAAGCCCCTGTTCCAACCACAACATCTCAGATAAACATCCAAAATAATGTAACCCTGTTTAGTTCATCTGCATGGAGATACAACTGGCCATTTCAAGAATCTGAATTTAGTTCTCATTCCTAAAAGTGATTTTGTTCTTCTTTTGACATCTTTTATTTTCAAATTTTAATCTTATGATAATATGATGTATAGATCTTTAAAGTGGAGAAATATTTTAACCTGTGTCAGCTTTTGCTTTGAGAAACTGTTCCATCAGGAAACACTCATTTCTTCCCCTCAACCAGACTGAAACAGGTAAAAAAAAAGGTAATTTATCTTAGTTGTGTGTGTGTGTGTGTGTGTGTGTGTGTGTGTGTGTGTGTGTGTGTGTGTGTGTGTGTGTGTGTGTGTGTGTGTGTGTGTGTGTGTGTGTGTGTGTGTGTGTGTGTGTGTGTGTGTGTGTGTGTATTTTAACATTTCAGATTAGTTAGTTTGCTGATGGACTTTGGTTTTTGGTTTACATCTTTGAATTTTATTGGCGACTGACTCCGGAGACTTTGTTGTTTTGGTTTTGTTGGACCTATCGGCTGCATTCAATACTGGGATCATTCTCTCTTGATTTGTAAGATGGACATAAGCCTAGTTCCCTTATCTTGGCTGGAACAAAAGCCATGCAGAAAACGAGACTTTCTGCACTTTCACTCGGAAAAAAGTTAATCTTCCTTGAATCATAAATGCCTTTACAACTTTATAGGCTGATATAATCCATGTGTTGACCACCAGGAGCGACAATCACACAAGGGTATCATAGACTCTACACACTGGCATCAGATGGTTTTATAAATAAAGTTTAGCTTATCAAACCATACAGCCAAAATGATGCCCAGACTTCTCAAGCTCAATCTCAGATACTTACAAGGTTGTGCTAAAACATCTAGCTTCCATTCCATCATTTCATTCATCATCTGTCATCCTGTGCAACCATTATTTCATTCATTCTTTGTCATGTGTGATCATTTAGTTTAGTAAAATAGAATTATAATAAATTTTATGTACTCTATGCTTGACTCCGTCTGGATTAATGTGAAGTGTGTTTTCCCTGAATGAGTCAAAGAAACTAAAGTCTTCTGATTAAACATTCAAATACCAATCAGATTGATATTTCATATTTATATGGAATATCACATCTTGCTGATCATTTAATAAATAAGTAGCTAATCATTAATGCCACAGCACCTAAGCTAGCCTTCCTTTTTATATCACAGTCCTCAAAATAATCAAATTTACTTCTGACACAGTATAGGTCACAAAAATGTCTCCGCCACATTTGAGTAATTCTCTCTGAACCATAACATCAATTTTAGCAGGTAAAGATTATTATTTATATTGTTTATTTCCAGAAATAATTTTCTCAATGATTCTCAGTTTTCAAGTTTCAAGAGAATTCAATCTCATTGTGTCTTCACTCTTTTTAAAGGTCAACTTCACTCTAAAACCATGTTTTAATTATTTCTGATTATAAAAAGTCACTTTGACTTTTTCATGCAGGCTGACTGTGAAAACAGTTTCCTACACCTATCTCCTGCATTAGCTTCTGATGGAAAATAGATGGTGCAAGTCTAGGATTAGAAAAGCCTGACATCTACGTCACACTGTCACTTAACATTCGTGAACGCACCCATCTTGGCTCATGACGGGGAAGGCTGTTGTTGGTTTAGCATCCAAGAAACAGCAAAAAACGTCTCAGCTAGTAGAAGCTAACAATTAGCATTATCAACTCCACCACATGGCAGACCTAATCCAGGCTTGTGTTATTTGTGGAGATAAAATATCAACATTGCAAAGCAAATGAAGTCAGTGGTAGAGTTGTGTTGCTGTCATGGCTCGAGGTAAGTGCCTAACCCAAGACATGCAGAATCATCACACAAGTCCAAAAAATAAAGTAAAATGTCTTTATTATTAACGGAACTAAGAACTGCTACAGGGAAGTCCTGTGCTGAGGAGCCAAGACGGCTCGAGTCTTTGAGGTGTCGGTGCTGAGAGGAAGTGTAGCCGGGAAGGACGCTGAGCAGAGGATGAGAGATGTCGTAGAGTGAGGCAGCAGAGGGAAATCCGAGCCGGAACGTCGGAGGAGGACGGGACGTGTAGAATAATCCAGAATTGGAGACAGCGAGGGTGAGATGATGATGAGGTGATCCTGAGCGAGACAAACAAGTATAAGGGAATATCCAAATCCAAATCCGAAACTACGATCCAAGGTCAATAATCCAAACACGAGTTAAACAGGTTTCAAGGTTCAAGGTCGAGTGGCTGGTGCTACCTGAACTGGTACAATCATCCGGCGAAATGAAGTGTCTCCGTCCTCCTTTTAAACCTGCGTTCCTGATTAGGGAATCGTCTGCAGCTGTAGTTCCCTCTGCTCCCCACCTGCGGAGAATGAACTCAGGTTCTGGTGAGAGGAGATGATGGAACTCACCTCTGCTCAGGGACATGACAGTGCCCCCCCCTCAACGGACGCCCCCTGGCGTCCCAGCACGGGATCTGGAGACCTCGAAGTCGGAGATTAGAGAGGGATCCTCGATGTAGGAACGGGGAACCCAGGAACGTTCCTCCGGACCGTATCCCTCCCAGTCCACGAGATACTGGAAACCCCGACCACGGGGGCGGGAGTCGAGGATGCGCCGAACCTTGTACACAAGTCCCCCTCTGTAGAGCCGAGCAGGAGGAGGCGGAGCCGGGGCTGGGCACAGAGGGCTGGAAACGACGGGCTTCACCAGGGAGACGTGGAACACAGGATGGATCCGGAGCGACGAAGGAAGCTCCAAACGCACGGTCGTCGGGCTAGGAACCGCCAATACTCTGAAGGGACCAAGGAACCTTGGAGAGAACTTCCTAGAGGTAGCCTTCAGCGGTACATCCCTGGAAGACAACCAGACCCTCTGACCAGGAGAGTAAGTGGGAGCTGGGCGGCGTTGTCGGTCCACCAGTCGCTGGTTCCTCTCCGCGGTCCGTTGAAGGGCCGATCTCGTGGCGACCCAGGTGCGACGGGCCCGACGAAGGAACTGAGGAGTGGTGAGGGTGGTCTCTGCCTGAAGGGGGAACAGAGAGGGCTGATACCCGAAGGAGGATTCGAAGGGAGACTGACCTGTGGCGGAGGAGACATGGCTATTATGGGCATACTCGACCCAAGCCAAATGCTCGCTCCAGGTGGACGGGCTGGTGGCACAGACGCAGCGAAGCATAGCGCCCAGTTCCTGGTTCATCCGCTCGCATTGTCCATTGGTCTGCGGATGAAACCCCGAGGTCAGGGCCACCTGGGCACCCAAGGCAGTGGTGAATTCCTTCCAGACGCGGGATGCGAACTGGGGACCACGGTCAGAGAGGATCTCTGTTGGGATTCCGTGCAGACGAAAAACATGTTTTATTAACAACTGGGCCGTAACGGCAGAGGTAGGGAGGGCCTTTAACGGCACCAGATGACAGGCTTTGGAGAACCTGTCCACCACAGTCAAAATAACAGTAAAACCACGCGAAGGTGGCAAACCACAAACAAAGTCCAAGGCGATATGGGACCAAGGACGGGACGGTACTGGTAGAGGACAGAGCAGACCTGCAGGAGGCTGGTTAGAGCCCTTTTGCTGAGCACAGACATGGCAGGCCGACACATACTCCTTCACGTCTTTGTAGAGGGAGGACCACCAGAAAGATCGCCTGATCAGAGCCACTGTGCGGTCCCACTCCGGGGTGGATGGAAAATCTCCCGGTGTGATCCCAGTGGATAACTTTTCCCCGTAATCCTTGGGGAACCAACAGTTTGTTAGAGGGTCCGTTACCTGGCCCGGGATCAGTCTTAAGGGCCTCCAGGACCTGGTGTCTTATGGGCCAGGTTACTCCTGCGACAATGCAGGAGGAAGGCAGAATGGTGCAAGGAGCCGTCTTATCCTCAGCAGCGTACTGTCGGGACAGGGCGTCAGGCTTCACGTTCTTAGACCCCGGTCTATAGGATAGAACAAAATTTAAACGGGAGAAGAACAAAGACCACCTGTACTGTCGAGGATTTAGTCTTTTTGCCTCCTTTAGATAGATCAGGTTTTTATGATCAGTCCAAATGATGAAAGGTAGTTCAGCCCCCTCCAGCCAATGTCTCCACTCTTCTAAAGCCAGTTTTACAGCCAGTAACTCCCTGTCCCCAACGTCATACCTGCTCTCAGTGGGTGTTAAGCGCCGAGAGTAGAAGGCACACGGATGGAGTTTGTGGTCCTCCGACGATACCTGAGAGAGCACTGCCCCGACCCCGGTGTCCGAGGCGTCCACCTCCACGGTGAATTGCCGCTTGGAGTCTGGTCTAGAGAGGACGGGAGCCTCCGTGAACTTCTTCTTAAGTGTCCGAAATGCGGCTTCTGCTTCTGGAGACCAAGAAAAGGGCTTGACAACAGAGGTTAGGGCTGTCAAAGGGGCTGCGGTCTGGCTATAATTGCGGATAAACCGTCTGTAAAAGTTTGCAAAGCCCAGGAACCGCTGCAGCTGTTTCCCGGTGGTAGGGGTAGGCCACTCCGTTACAGCTTGGATCTTATCAGGATCCACCCTCAACCGTCCACTCTCTAAAACAAATCCAAGAAACTTAACAACAGACACATGAAACTCACATTTCTCAGCTTTCACAAAAAGTCTGTTATCCAACAGCCGTTGGAGAACCAACCGAACGTGTCTTTTGTGTTGGGCCAAGGACCTAGAGAAAATCAAAATATCGTCAAGATATACAGTCACAAAGTCATTTATGTAGTCCCCCAACACAGAGTTCACAAGTCTCTGAAACACCGCTGGAGCATTGGTGAGACCAAAAGGCATCACTAAATATTCAAAGTGCCCCAGAGGTGTCTTAAACGCAGTCTTCCATTCGTCACCTTGGCGCACCCTGACCAAATGATATGCGTTGCGGAGATCCAACCGCGTAAAAACGGTGGCATCCTGCACAGGTTCAAAGGTAGACGAAAGCAGAGGAAGCGGGTACTTGTCCTTTACCGTTATTTGGTTTAAACCCCTGTAGTCTATGCAAGGGCGGAGCGAGCCATCCTTCTTGGCCACGAAGAAAAAACCAGCTCCCAGAGGCGAGGTGGATGGCCTGATAATGCCATTGGTCAAGGCCTCGTGGATGTACTGTCTCATACTGTCCTGATCAGGCTTGGACGGACTGTAGAGGCGGCTGGTTGGGAGCGGAGCTCCTGGCAACAGGTCGATGCCAATATCAAAGGGACGGTGAGGTGGTAACGTGGCTGCTTTATCTCTGCTAAACACCTGCTGTAAATCATGGTACTCACTAGGTACCTGGGTGAGATCTGGCGGCTCCCTAATAGTCCTTTCAGAGTCCTTAGATCCAGCTGCAGCAGAGGTTAAACAGGTTAGAAGACACTCCGGACTCCAGGTCTCGACACGGTTAGACCTCCAGTCCAGACATGGGTTGTGTTCCTTAAGCCAGGAATGGCCTAGAACTATTTGGTTCTGCGGAGATGGAAACACAAACAGTGAGGTTGTCTCTGTGTGGTTACCTGAGACCTGGAGCTGGAGTGGTTCAGTTCGGAGAGTGATGGTGGACAGAGACCTCCCGTCTAGGGAGGACACAGTTAATGGTTCCAGCAGTGGAACTGTAGACAGACCCCACTTGCGGACCAGTTGCGGGTCCACCAATGACTGTTCACATCCAGAGTCCACAAGAGCAGTCGTCTGGTAGCGACGACCGTTAACAGTCAATGCACATTCTATAAGGAAACGGGAGGTTTCTTTACCTGTCTGACTGCCCACCAGGACTCCCGGAACTACTGGTGGGCACGCCCTTTTGACGCCGCAGGGCAGGATTGCAGCATGTGTCCTGGTTTACCACAGTAAAGGCACAGCCCCTTGCTGAAGCGATGATGGCGTTCTTCCGGGGTGAGATGGGTACGTCCCACCTGCATAGGCTCCTCGGAGGCATCCAGAGGAGGAGACCTATATGATGGGCGAGGTGCTGATGGTGGTGACAGATCCCTGGAAGATGTCTTCAGAAGCTCCCGATGTCTCTTGTCGATGGAGATGCATAAGGTGATCAACCCGTCCAGAGTTGGGGGTTCGGGGCAAAGAGACAGCTGGTTCTTAACCCTGTCGTTTAAAGCCTCGATGAATACTGCTTTGAGAGCTTCATCCCCCCATGATGTCATCGCAGCCAAAGTCCTGAATTCCAGAGGCATGTCAACCACTGACTTCCTTCCCTGCGAGAGGGGCAAAAGTCTCTTCCTGATGTCAGTGGTGGTCTCGGAACTGCAAAAAGTGAGTTTAAACTCCTCCAGAAAATCAGAGTAGGAACCAGACAGAAAATCGGAATTTCTACTCTTAGCCTCTGCCCACCTAAGTGCTTTTCCTCTAAGAAGTCCAATAATAAAAGAAATCTTCATAGAGTCAGTAGGAAAAGACTTGGGGGATTCTTCAAACGCTAGGCGGCACTGCAGTAAAAATCCAAAACAATCCTCGAACTCACCGGAAAAAGTCGGGCATTGCCGAGGAGGAGCCGAACGGCAGTGGGTGATTTCCGGAAGACAGCTCGCTTCCTGTCCGGGTGAAACCACTCCTCCAGAGGCGTGGGCGTGTAGTGCTGTTCCATACTCCGGAGCGGCGGCTGGCGCTGGAGCGAGGACGGAAGAGGAGAGTTGTTCCTGGAGCTGCTGCAGTACGGTCTCTAAACGTTGGTAACGTTGGTTGGAGATGGTGATCTGCTCCACGAGGACGGGGAGTGTCTGCTCCTGTTGGGACATCCGGGTAGCCAGATCCGCTGGGTTAGCTACGTGGCCGGATGATTCTGTCATGGCTCGAGGTAAGTGCCTAACCCAAGACATGCAGAATCATCACACAAGTCCAAAAAATAAAGTAAAATGTCTTTATTATTAACGGAACTAAGAACTGCTACAGGGAAGTCCTGTGCTGAGGAGCCAAGACGGCTCGAGTCTTTGAGGTGTCGGTGCTGAGAGGAAGTGTAGCCGGGAAGGACGCTGAGCAGAGGATGAGAGATGTCGTAGAGTGAGGCAGCAGAGGGAAATCCGAGCCGGAACGTCGGAGGAGGACGGGACGTGTAGAATAATCCAGAATTGGAGACAGCGAGGGTGAGATGATGATGAGGTGATCCTGAGCGAGACAAACAAGTATAAGGGAATATCCAAATCCGAAACTACGATCCAAGGTCAATAATCCAAACACGAGTTAAACAGGTTTCAAGGTTCAAGGTCGAGTGGCTGGTGCTACCTGAACTGGTACAATCATCCGGCGAAATGAAGTGTCTCCGTCCTCCTATTAAACGTGCGTTCCTGATTAGGGAATCGTCTGCAGCTGTAGTTCCCTCTGCTCCCCACCTGCGGAGAATGAACTCAGGCTCTGGTGAGAGGAGATGATGGAACTCACCTCTGCTCAGGGACATGACAGTTGCTGTTGGCCAATCAGAGGGGAGATATCTGAATATCAGGAAACAAGACTCCAAATTCTGCCGTCTGAAGCTCAGCACTGATCTGGCTTAC